ATAATTACTTCTTAACGAAACCTAGCTACAACGGTGAGGGTAATCATATATTGATTAGTTCAATTGTCATATTTCTTATACATTCTAACATGAAATCTCACACCATACAATTTAGATTAGTTTAAGATAAATCTTGCCAATATAAAAGAAGTAAAACATTGCTTCTATAAAACCTAAAATGTGTTTTCTTCTATTATGGTCACACACACAAACAACTTTAATTATCTGAAGAATATCAAAACAAACCCTAAGCGTAATTAGTTTGATTAAAAAGAAAGCTAGCTTTCTTCTTCTACTAATTAATTATGGGGATACTATTGAATGATTATTGATCCAAACATATCCAACGTGTTATGCAGTTATTGACCGGTTTCAGTCCCTTAAATCACTGCATTCGCACTAGATATGACAAAAGAAAATACTCAGGAGACTATATGGTGTGACGATTGATAGTTGAATTCTTTCTTTAATGATTTAGAGAAGAAATCCAACCATCACCTGTCACATCAGGTGATCTCTAAAATTTGACTTAAGTTGATGATATGTCTAACAGTACCCATGACATAATACACGTATAATTAATGTCACATAGTTATCATCGATCTCAGAATGATCCTAACTCAAATTTGATTTTGTTAACTCCATCTCTTGAGAGTGTTCCACTTGTCTCAATATTTACGCTATATAGCTATGTATCTAACAAATGCCGCATGACAGGTTTGACAAACAATGCTAATACTACTCACGTCCTTTTCATGTTTTCATGCACTCTAATTTCATTGGGCCATTCGTTAAATTCCATGCATGTTGGTACTACCTTTCAATTAGCTAGCTTAGTTCAAGATTATGATTAATCACTTGTTGAAATTAAGTCAAGTTCAACCACTACTCATTATCCACCTCTGTCGAATATGATGAAACATAGCTAGCACAAATATTATCATTGTTATCATCGATCCAGGTGGTGACGTCTCTCCTGTGTGAACCCAACAAAGTTACTTTGAAGCTTGTTCTTCCATCTCACACGTAGACTTGGCATGCACTAGAGACACAAATATGAGGTATGGGTTATTTGGGTATGGCGCTCAATGTTCAAACTTATTTAAAAGATATAAACAAACCACCAAAGCATGTATATTTTGTGGATAATGTTGCCCTCATCCCTAGTGAAGGAGGAAACTTGATAATGTGACATTATGTTATTGTTATAATCATAACTGTTTTTTATTTATTGTTATTTCAACTATTATATATATTTAAAAAAAAACATTTGATTTGGAGACTGTTTTGCCTTCATATGATAATAAGTAGCATTCATTATTATTTGGAGACTGTTTTGCATTCATATAATAATAAGTAACATTCTCACGATGAATTCTTAAAATTTTTATTAACAGGAATGATTAACTGATTTATAAGTAATAATTTTTTATAAAAATGTTATGTATATGATCATAGAAATTCATGGCTTATTAGTCGAAATGCCCCTGAAACTGCCAGTGAGTCTCAGTTTACCCCCCTAAAACTTGTTTTGCCTCACTTTGCCTTATGAAACTGACATCTTCAACTCTCTTGTCTCACTTTACCCACTTCTGTTAATGGACGGTTAAACTTAAGGGTATTTTAGACTTACTTAGTGTGGGCACTAGAGGTAAATAAATGTGTAAAAACTGAAATATCTAAAATACTCTTAAACGGAAGTGGGTAAAGTGAGACAAAATAGTTAAAAATGTTAGTTTCAAAGGGTAAAGTAAGACAAAATCAATTTTAAGGGATAAACTGAAACTCAACAACAATTTCAAGGGACATTTCAACTAATAAACCTATAATTTTTGCACCATAAAATAATGTCTCGTTTGCAGGAAGAAGATTTTCCTTCCTAGTAGGAAGATGCCCTTTATCTTGCCCAAAAGATGATAAAATAAGACGAAGAAGAAAATGATACGTGTCTACTATGATTGGGGTTTAGGTATACAATGGAGCCCACAACCCCAAAAGTAGGGATTTGGATTCTTTCCTCAGCTCATAAATTTGAGTCTTGAGATCAAATCACACGGATCGTTAGATTTTGATCTAACGGTTACAAATAGGAATCTCTCTTAAAGTTATAGTAATTGTAGCCGTTGGATAAAAATCTAACGATCCGTGTGATTTGATCATAAAGCTCAGATTTTTGAGCTCAGGAGAGGATCCAAATCCTAAAAGTAGTATTTTAATTGTATTATGTGGAATGGGGGCCCCCTACATTCACTGGCCATATTGCCGACAGGTACCACAATCTGATGCAACAAGAAATGAAGGTCAACTTGGTAGGGTTTTGTTTGGATTGAACAATGAACATGGAGGAAGGGAGTGAAGCTTGGAGATCAACATCGGACTCCACGTGAAGGGTTGACACGTAGTACTTCTGGAATCGCTTGCCCGACAAGTGATTCAATTTGGTGTGATCTTGGATGGCTACAAGGTGTTGAACCCAGTATTGCAATTTATGAGATGAATCAAGCTTTGCTGTCGAAAAAAGAGCCACAAGTACTGCTAAAAAATCTATACAAATGAATACGTATTTGAATAAGTGAATTGAAAATTATGATTAGGCACTTGTTTATTAGTGATTATGTTACAACAACACTATTGTTCTTCTTTCAGCAATGAAAGATATGGTTCTTATGAAATACATGGTGATGTTTTTAGACAGAAACAAATTCTGCTATCTTGTCTTTATAGTTCACGACTAGAATTTGATTCTTATTTTCTACCCCGTTTGACGTTAAAAAGAAAGTGATAGAATTGGATAAAACCTAATACATTCTTAATAGGTGGTGATGAAGGCCGTATATTTAAGATACATCTTTTTCACATAACTAAGTCTACACTGAAAATGTTGTGTAGTCCTACGGCATATCACCACGTCAATGGTGCTATTAAAACTATACATATCATCAGTTTAGAGGTGTCGAACGGGGCGGGCCTAGCCCATTTAAAGTCGGCTCGCATGGGTTTGGGCTGTGATTGGATCGACCCATTTAATCGTGCTAGACTGACACATTTAACGAAACATTAAGCCTAGCTCAGTCTGCAACTTTGGCCCATTAAGAATTGGGCTGTGCTAGGCTGGGTCACTAAACTGATCAATTTAAGTAAAACAAACTAGTTATTAAAATAAAAATAAAATAAAAAATAAAAAAACTTATTTGAACATGTTATTAAGCTAAATATCTTTAATATGAACACAAGCGGAGCCACCCACAAGGCGAAGATGGGTTGTAGTCTTAGGAGGTTTTTTGTAAGTATAGTGCTATCTACGCATTTATTTCTATTTCTCACACATTCCCATCGGTTTTCGACCGTCGAATTAAATGAATTGACGAAGATCAATAACAAAAAATTAGTAAGGGTGTGTGAATAGCACTATCTTTTTTTTAAACTCATGCTTTAATGGCTTATGTTAATGCATATAGCATATATAGCCCACTCAATTCCAATACAAGTTATTATTTCATGTATATTTAGTAGATGATAGGTAATAAATTATACTTTTTATGCTAATATAATAAATTAGTTCTATCTTCCCTCTCCCCTTCTATCCTAACCGTTGAAGAAAAATACCATTTATCCTATGCAATTTAGCCTCCGTACTTCTTACTCAAGAAAAAACAAAGATTTTCTTTTAGTTCACGGTTAAATTATTATCTCCGCAATTCCTTACTTTTCATTTTATTTACTTATTCTTGATTTATTTAGTAGGTTAATTATTTATATGGTCCTTGGAGTTGTTGGTTAGGATTATGATTTCAAGAATTGTCTATATTCTATTATTGTTCTTTTATATTCATTATTTTATAATTTTATATAAGAAAAACAGTAAACATATGATTTTGCGGGACTAATTTCAGCTAGCCCACCTAAAAAAAAAAATCATAGCCCTGCTATTGAATATGAAGCCATATTAACCAAACTGTACGGATCGTATTATTTATTTATTTATTTTTAATTGAGGTCTCAATAGTTCTTCATGTAATGAAATGCAATTAGTTTATTAACATACTAATGTATGCAACTTTTTTGAATATAAGTAATTTATGTGACACAATGATTGTATTCATTTTGTGTTTGTATTTGATCTCATAATAAAAGAAAATAATAAAATAAGAAAGAAGTGAAACAATCCACAAATATAAATACATTTAAAATGATCAAAACTCATGCATAGTGCCTCGTAATAAACTAAAGGCTTTTTGCCGTTCATGAGCGTGTGCAAAAAAACTAGTCATATTTTAAAAGGAAAACTAATAAAAATGGCTTGAAAACTTTGAGTTTTAACAATAATGACAAAATAAAGGATAAAGTGAATAGTATCATGATTGATTTTTTAGTGTAAAAATGTGGTTTCTCGTTAAAGTGAACAGTACCGGGAGTTTTTCGTTAAAGTTCTCTATTTTAAATGATCTAGTTTATAGGGAGTTTTAAACCAGATTTGCTACATAATCGGCCTCATTATGAATGAACAAATCCCAATCAGAAAAGAATGTGACTTAAATGAGTGTTCAATTTCTATGCTACATGGGAAAAATGAGTGCACTAGGTAAGCCATTTCCATTAGGATCGATCGGTTAGTTGCAATTGATGGACATTAGAGCATTTCTAATGGTAAGGGCAAGACGGGGTAAAGATAAAATCTAGCCCTCCAAATTGACGTTATTCATGAAATCTAGCCTTTTAAATTTTTTGTTGTTCCAACGGTGAGAAAGGCTAGAGGCTAAAAAATGTTAGATGATTCATTTTAATTGGCTAGCGTCTTAACCTGTCCTCTTAAAAAGTCAGCGGTAAGACCTGGGGCTAATTTGGCCTCACAAGGAGCCTTGAGCTCCAACTAACCTAGGCTGATTGGGTGAGTTACAAAGCTTTTCCTTGCAACTTGGAGTAAGATTTTCTTCTGGTCTGAACTTAAAAGCCATGCGTTAGATATACTGTTATGTATCCATGCCCAGTGAACAGAGACATAAATCGTAACATGGTGTTTGGGATTGGATTTTTGGTAATGGGTCTTTGTCATCCACATAGTTAACGCTAATATTGATTGATTGATGCATGTTGTGGTACACGTAATAGGAATAACCGACATCTTAGAAGGTAATCTTCATGTGCGCCTACCGTATACAATAACACACTTATAAGAAGTGAGACGCAAACGCAGACAGTCTCACCCCTTGTGAGTGTGTTTCGACAGCCGCACATAAAAATTTCTTGAGATCTTAAGATTCAAGTAGCTTGCTAAAAGAACTTTTTTGGGTCATCCCTAACAGAGCAGCTGATTTGCTATGCCAATTTGGGCTATAGCTAGACTTTACTCTGGGCTAGCATTTACGCTACTGATGCCTTAGGCAGGCCTCAGCCTAGGGCATTTGCTTGTTGGATTTTGGTTCGCCAATTATCCAACTGTCGCAGCCACTCTGAAAATATCATTCTGCATTCCTTTACTTCGAAAATACTAAACAACGACATATGGTGTCAGCTTCCTGGAGAGCTTCTATTTTTGCTTTTGACCTCTTTGGCGATCCTTCGGTTGAGAGGACAATAACTGGTATCTTCCTTCTGCCCATATCCGCAAAGAGTTCAAGAAATTCCTCTCAGAGTTTGTACAGGGTCAAGGAGGCCAGTCAAGAAAGCAGCGGGCGTGTAGCGAGCTCCCTTCGTCTTTGTCAGCGCATATCTACTTTCGACAATTCCAGGAGTCACATTGTCAGGATTTCAATAGACGTGATCAGTATTGTGATTCAATTGACTTCTCATTGCTGACAAGCATGTTATACATCATCCAGCCCACAGCAAGGGCTTGTAAGGTGCCTCGAAGTAGTCTGTACCTGAAAATTTGTTAACGAAAGGAGAGATTAATGAGGTTCATAGATCATAACAAAGGTGGCGGTTCAATATATGGTTTCAAGGAAAAGTAGCACTTTCCATAGAAGACATCTGTATCGAAATCTTAACAATGGACGAACTATGTGCAACATATAGAAGCAAGGAAGGATTATCAAACACTTTTCCTCCAGAATAGTTATCCTCAATTTGCGACGTTATCTATTACCCCTCAAGTCTCAAGAACAAGAACCATTCCACCTATATATGAGGTTTTCAGATAGAATACCTAGTTTACATGCTAGAATCTCGACCAAAAACAATAGGAAGGGGACCAGCCCAGGTGAGTGCAACAGCGGCAATGGCTTTAGGTTTCACAGCACAACGTTTTAAAGCACGAATAGTTGAAGTAGCTGCATGCCCTCCTCCAAATACCACAAAGTCATTTTCTGGTTGATATCAAGAGACTGTTAGTTCAAAAGTAAAGCTTTGTATTGGTTTCAAACCCATGTGCAAATTGACAAAGTAATAACAAAGAAAAAGTACATTTTCAATAACTGACCTGTGATGGGAGTGAAGATTTCTCACCCACAGGGAGCTTGGAGGAGTTCTTCAGGGTGGTTGAAGCCCTAACTGTTAGTGTTTTCTGGAAGCAAGCACTCTGAGAGAAATTTGGTTTCCGGGTTCAGAACAAAAGAGCACGGGATGGCTGTGAAGATGTGTAGAATGCTGTGGAGAGCGCCATGAGTTTGTAGCAGAAGTTGAGAGGAAGATGCTGACCACTGGTTTCTCTTCTGTAGAAAAATATTAAAGAATCTCAGTTCAGCAATCAGCACACCAAATGAGAGATTTGAACATATCGCTAGTGTCCACAAAAGTTTTGGAAATATCAGTTAGCACCAAATGAGATACAAGTTTGTTCACTTTTTCATATGGTGCCGTTGGCCTCCCACCCGCCAAACGTTAAATTTTCTCACCTTATTCCTTTGGATATTCTTTTTCAATATTGTATCAAAGGATTCAAAAGCACAACAGATTCAAGCCAAAAGAAAACCCCATGAAAATTGTAAAAGCCACGAATTTTTCACGATTTAACAAGTGCTTCCTACCATCAATTACTCCATCTGCATTATAATCCCTCTTGATTTATAAGTTTTTTCCAGCATTCATGATTTCCCTTGCTTCCATTGAACCAATTGTTGAAATTTTGAACCAATGATACAACTCCATGCCAAATTCTTGGCATTCTTTTTTGTATTTGTGCATCAGGGTCAGTCTATTAACTTCTTCCACGACGTTGATCTCTCTTAAAATTACAGGAGCTAAACTTCTTCAAGCGCTTCATCAGTCGCCACTCACCAGTAATCTTTACATGAACAAGAGCCATCCTTGAAGGAGTGAAAACGGCTTCCATCTCTAACCACAATCTCCACTCTATAAACCTTAGAAATCAGCTTCATCACTGTATGACAGTGCTTACAGACCAGTAAATTCTTCACAATCCTTATAATCCTTCCTTCACGCTGTCTTGCCAACCCAAAAGCTACAGCAAGTTTCTCACTGTGCCTGAAAACTGAATCTTCTTTATCCTCTTCTTCTATGTCATGCAAAACACTCCTAACCTCCGGAACATAACCTCCTTCAACCATAAGTTTTAACATTACCTCCCTTAGCTTCTCATAAGCATCTTCTGTAATGTTATTTGATTTTTTACCAACCATAAACTATACATGACCCGGTCAACTTCGATTGCACGCCATCCTGGAGCTTTCTTAATCCTCTGGTCAGCCATTGATCTTCTTAGAGCAGCAACATCCTTTCACTTCCCCGCAACAGCGTATGCATTTGACAAGAGAACATGGTCACCAGAATTGTCGGGATCAAGTTTGGAAAGAACTTCCTTCACTTGTTCTGCCAACTCAACATTACCATGAATGCTGCAAGCCCCAAGAAGAGTACACCAAATGACAGCATTAGGAGATATTGGCAATTCACGTACAAAATCACGGGCCTTCTGCAGTTTACCAGCTCGACCATATAGATCTACTATACAACCGTAATGTTCAATAGCTGGTTCCATACCATATAAATCTCTCATCTTAGAGAAATACTCACATCCTTCGTCAACCAGACCAGCATGACTACAAGCATACAAAACTGAAATGAAGGTGATCCCATCGAGCTTAATTCCAGACATTTCCATCTTACGGAAAATTTGTATTGCTTTTTTCCATAACCATGCATTGCAAGCGCTGCTATCATTGAAGTCCACGAAATAATACTCTTCTCTGGCATTCTTTTGAAGACCAACCTAGCCATGTCCACATTGCCAGTATCCAGGAGTGCATTATTGACTGAAATCATCGAAAGCAAACCAGCCTTCTCTACTAAACAATGTAAAATTTTACCAAACTCAAATGCACCAGCTTGCGCACATGCAGAGAGTACTCCAGTCAAGCTCGCCTCATTCGGTCTAATTCCCTCCCTCTGTAGTTCCCTGAAAAACCCAAAAGCCTCATCAAAGCAACTATTCTGAGCAAACCCCACAATCATAGTACTCCAAGACATATCATGTTCATCGGCATCCTCAAAAATGCCTTCTTAGCCAGCTCAAGCTCATCCGTTTTCACATACCCTGCAAGCAAAATGTTCCAAGAGGTCAAATTCCTCAAAGGCATCTGGCCAAACATCGTCTCCGCACCCTTTGCATCCCCAAACCTAAAACACGAGGTAAGAATCGCATTCCACGCAACCATATTTGGTTCACGCATTTCCTCAAACACCTTTTGAGCAAACTTAACACGCCCGCATTCAGCATACATACTAATCAAAGTTGTCCCAACAAAAGGATGGGTATCAGGCCCACAAGCCAAAGCTTGACAATGCAGCTGCATCCCATATCTTAAAGCCCCGCAATTCGCCGCCGCCTTGAGTACAAACGCGAAAGAGAAGCTATCAATGGGGTCGGTCAATCTCCGACGCATTTCAGCAAACACAACAAGCGCATTATGCGGAGTATCCGACTCGGCGAGCCCGCGAATGAGAGTATTGTACATGAAGGCATCTGGGTTTCGAAAATGAAGGAAGAGGCGGCGAGCGTAGTGGAGAGCGTCGGAGATTGTGACGGCGCAGTGGAGGAGGAGCTTGCCGAAGACAAAGGGATGAGCGTCGATGCCGGTCTTGGATGCAAAGGCGTGGACTTGCTTCACGGTTTTGAGAGTGTTTCACAGTTTCACTTGCTCAGAAAACACACGCAGAGCTGTTCCGCCGTAATCATGGTCAGCTCTCGTACTCCATAACTCAAAGCACCGCAAATTTTTGGTTATGACCAGATCACGGGATACACAGCGTGTTGTGGTGAAAATTTTTATTTTTTAAATTATTAATTTTTTAATATACGTATCTTATTATTTGTATAATGGTAGATGATGTATTACCGTGAACCGGTCACATTGAAAAATCTCTCTCAAAGCACATGGCTTTTTCGTGGTCTCTCAAAGTTCAGAGAGGAAATCGAAAAATTAAGTGATAGTTCAAGGGGCATATCGGCAGTTTGCTCATATTTAAAAATCAAGGATAGAAGGGTGAAATGTAAACTTCATTTTATATTGATAAGATATAGAAAAATCAATAAATGTCGATGATATTTATCAATTCACTATAGAAATTTTGTTAAAACCTATTCAAAATTTTAAACTTTTGAATTAATTTTGACTAAATCTAAATGAGTTTATATACCCACCATATTGAAAATTTTCATAATTTTCGTCGAAGACAACCGATATCGACATTTCTATGAATTTACATATAACTGTTTTACTGAAATCGATATTTTCAACACTAATTAAAATCAATAAATTACAAGTTTAATGAGAAAATTGGGATTTTCCTCAAATCACAAGGGCATATAAGGCTTATAAGCAAGTAAGCCAATGAAATGGACAAGAAGTAGAAATCATGACCGTTGAAAGAGAACACATGGTAGCCGTTAGATCCTAGGGCAAGTGAGGATCCTTTCTTTCTGTCTACCTCTCTAGGGCTTGAACTGTCTCGCTCTACCACCAAAACAGAGTTGCTCTAAATTAACCTAACCCAGAGAGAGAGAGAGAGAGAGAGAGAGAGAGAGAAAGAGAGAGAGAGAGAGAGCGAGAGGTTGAAGATGGTTCAGAGGCTCACATACCGTACGCGCCACAGCTATGCAACCAAGTCGAACCAGCATCGGATCGTCAAAACCCCTGGTATTTTCACTATTCTTAATACATAGTTAATTCTATATTTATATGGGATTAAAGCTGATGCTTTTGTGATCAAAGTGCAAACTTTGATTGTTTTTCATGTACTTTGGGTAATTAAATTTAATTTTTGGGGGCTTTTATATGTTATCATGCAAAGAAATGATATGATGCAGCTGTTAAATCTGAAATTTTTGAGATTTTGATTGATCCAATTTCATAAGAAAATTTGTGCTCTTTTAGAAAATGCGGTCGGATGTATGAATCCTAAAACGCTATTGCGTGCGGTTTTGCGCCATGTATTCCGTTAGCTTCAAGTTCTCCGTACCTTTTCTTAAAGTCTCTATCCGTGTCTTCCTGGTTCTTCCTCTACCCCTTTTGCTCTAAGCCTCCGTCTCATAGGAATTCCTTGATCTGAAATATGGAGCAAAATTGAAATGGGGACATGAAAATTGATGAATGATGAAAATAAGAATCTGCATTGTCTGCAGTTTTGAAGTCTTTATATCTAAGAGTGAGATGGTTACCATATAATTGGTTTTACTGGCTTCGACTAGCTAAATGCCCGTTTCTTGTCTCCGCCTCTTCGTATTCTATGCATTTGATTGTACGTCTCTGAGTTGGAGTTATGGCATTGTTTGAAACAATGCTGAACTTTAGTTTACTTCATTTGTATGTCATAGATCGTAGTTTACTTGGATCGTAATTGATTCATTCCTGCGCTTGCATTTTAAATGTATTGCAAAGTTTTCCATTCTGTTGGTTTTGTGTGGACGGGTTTCACTTATACCTGTGCTTTGATATACAGGCGGAAAGCTCGTGTATCAGACCTCTAAGAAGAGAGCAAGTGGACCCAAATGTCCTGTTACTGGAAAGAGAATCCAAGGGGTGAGTTGATTGTTTGGGGCTACGACTTGTTTTGGTTCTAAGTTCTAACTTTTGTTTTCAGTCTTTTGATCACCGATTTCTATTTTTTCCCGCAAGAAATGTATACCTGATATGATATTGACTTTAGTGTTGTAATTAGGAAAACAAGGATTCACATTAAGCATTTTGGTTTATCGCATATGTTGCTAATACTGCAAATCAATTTTTTTTTGTGCAATTTCTTCTTTTAAATGGTTGCGGTCCTATGTATAAGCATAGGAGTTAAGATTATCGCATAACGAGCTTAATTTGTCACAATTGGTCTTTACGGAAAGTTAGGGATGCCATGTTGATATATATATGTATATATATATATTGATGATATGAAGTACGTTGTATTTCCTTTTTCCCGCCACTTGTAGTCTGCTTTCTGCTTCCCGTCTTGAGAAGCCTGCCCTTTTTTAAGTTCTCACTCACCGCCATTGCAGATTCCTCACTTGAGACCCGCTGAATATAAGAGGTCTAGACTATCAAGGAACAGGAGGACTGTGAATCGTGCCTACGGAGGTGTGCTGTCCGGTGGAGCTGTCAGAGAGAGGTTTGTATTCTACAAGTTTTACTTATCGAGTTGTGTGGTTTATTTGCGCTCTTCTGTTTAGTGATATTTTGATTAACCGACTATAGTTCTTGTAATGGCATTGCAGGATCATCCGAGCCTTTTTGGTGGAGGAGCAGAAGATCGTGAAGAAGGTTTTGAAGATTCAGAAGGCAAAAGAAAAGCAGGCTTCAAAAAGCAAATAGAAAGCGAACAATTTTTGTGATATGCAAGTGAGAAATTTTGACTACTACTATGAGATGATAAAAATTATTGGAACCAAATTTGTTGTCATCAGTTTCTTTGATTCAGTATTACACACAACGTATTAATTTCGGATGGATACAGATTGAAAATATGCCGTAGGGCGATATTTCAAGCAAAGTCTTAACATGTTACGTGATGGGTGATGCGTTTATTACATAACAAATGTATTCCACCGATACGTGGTTAACTAATGCGATCGAGCATGACTCGTCTGCTTGATAAACTGAAGGAGCCGAACAAGCGTGTCATGAGGAGGGTCTAATTCTTTCACCAGTGGATGCTCCTTCATTGCAGCTACCCATGAGAACAGCAACGGATTCCTATCTGGGTCCAACATTTTGAAACCAAGGACTTGTTCATGAGCTTTGTAAGGACCAAATGTTGCAACCATCAGTATGTCCAGGAGTCCCAGATTCTCACCATTGGTGAACGGATCTCCTCCGTGAAGGTACTCCTTCATTCCTTCTTCAAACACTCCCAGCCTCGCAAACACTTCCTCGAGCGCTTTCTCTTGCGCTTCACCTTCACTTGTCACCACCCGGCTCATGCCCTCGAACAACTGCATCAACAAAATTAAGCATGATGATGATTGATGATTGAAAAGACAGGCAAACATAAAAACAAGGACATTGGCTCACCTGTTGCTGGATATAAGAGGCCCAGAATCCAACTTTGGCTCGTTCATAAGGATCTTCAGGCAGGATTTTAGGAGCATTGTTCCAAGTTTCATCAATGTACTCTAAGATGACGTACGATTCAACAATCGGTTTTCCATTGTGGACAAGTACCGGAACCTTCTTGTGAACCGGATTGTACTGGAGGAGCTGCTGGCTCTTGTTGCTCAAATCTTCTTCTATGTACTCGTATGGTACGCCTTTAAGCCGGAGAGCGAGTTCCACTCTCTTAGAGTAAGTACTAGCCCACATCCCGTGTAGTTTTACTCCGTTTTCGCCTTCCATCTCTCCCACTGCAAGCAACGGCCTAGTTTTCTGGGTTCAAGTCTGCGAGATTAGCCTTTTATGTAGAATTTTTCATCCATCTTTCGTCATGTTCTTTGAAATTTGACCACCTTTTTGCTTGGGAAAGAAGATTAGTTTAAACCATTTACTTAACTTGCTCGACAAGTCTGCCTAAACAAAGATTAGTGCACCCAAGTTTTCAACGTTTCGAAAGCAGAGGGGCCTCAGTCGACAGGAAAACAATTGCTGATACAATTTTCTTGGTCATAACTAACAAAATATTAGTAGCTGCACTTTTGATGTCAAAAAAAAGAGAAAAATTAATTTGTCAAGAATGGGATTCGAACCCATGCCCTTTCGGACCAGTACCTGAAACTGGCGCCTTAGACCAACTCGGCCATCTTGACTTGTTGCAATAATTAGACCCAAAATCTTAATTAAAAAATAAATATTTGTGGCCACCCAGTGTTATGTTATTACAGTTTCATACGTTCCCGCGTTTATTCAAAATGATCTGTGACAAAATCATTATGCTCTCCTTTTCCTCTGCACGAACCCAAATGAATTCTCTCCTCAATCCAAAACTCTCTTCCAGAATCTCACTCTTTCAACTCAAGTTTCTATCTTCGCTTGCCGTTACGGAAAACCCATCTTTTTTCCCCATCGAAAACGACCAAATTCCCAGTCAATTTGACCCCTTTCAGTTCTTCAATGATTATGCAAAATCAAGACAGTGTACTGCGAGAATCACTAAAATCGTACACACCCATTTGACCACAACTGGTTTACTTCAATCCGATATCTTCCTCTCGAATTCATTGCTTGATTCGTATTGTAAGTCCGCTGCCATGGTAGATGCACTCAAGCTGTTTGATTTAATTGCTGACCGAAATGTTTTTTCGTGGAATATCATGATTTCGGGTTATAACCACATTTTGTTATTCGAGATGGCATGGGAAATGTTTTGTAGGATGCACGCTTCGGGTTTTGGGCCCGATGAGTTTGCCTATGGGAGTGTTCTTTCGGCTTGCAATGCCTTGCAAGCGCCTATTTTTGGGAAGCAGGTTTATTCGCTTGCAATTAAAAATGGGTTCTTTCCGAATGGTTATGTTCAGTCCGGAATGATAGACTTGTTTGCGAAAAATTGCAGCTTTGAAGATGCTTTGAGGGTTTTTCATGATGTTTCATGTCAGAATGTTGTGAGTTGGAATGCTATTATCTCTGGGGCAGTGAGAAATGGAGAGAACAGGGTTGCTTTGCATCTTTTTCAGAAAATGTTCCGTGGATTCCTGTTGCCAAATAGTTATACATTTTCTAGTGTTTTAACTGCTTGTGCTGCACTTGAAGAAATTGAAGTCGGGAAGGAAGTGCAAGGGTTGGTGATTAAACGCGGTGCAGAAGATGTCTTTGTTGGGACTACTATTGTAGATTTATACGCCAAATGTGGAGAAATGAATGAAGCTGTCAAGGAATTCAAACGTATGCCAACCCGTAATGTGGTTTCTTGGACTGCCATCATTTCTGGTTTTGTGCACAAGGACGATTATATTTCTGCCCTCAAATTTTTCGGAGAAATGAGAAAAGTCGGAGAGCAAATGAATAAGTACACTGTTACGAGTGTACTTACTGCATGTGCTAGACCATCCATGACTGAAGAGGCAACCCAAATTCACTCTTTGATTTTGAAATCTGGATTCTTTTCAGCTGCTGTTGTGGGGTCAGCGTTAATTAATGCATATTCAAAAATAGGAGCAGTCGATCTATCCGAGATGGTGTTCAGAGAGATGGAAAATATAAAGGATCTTGGGACATGGGCAGCAATAATATCTTCTTTTGCTCAGAATCAAAATTCTGGAAGGGCAATTGAATTGTTCCGGAGAATGTTACAAGAAAGTGTGAGACCAGATAAGTTTTGTACTTCCAGTGTCTTGAGCATTGTAGACTGTTTAAATCTAGGAAGACAGATCCACAGCTACACTCTTAAAAGTGGGTTGGTATTTGATGTTTCTGTTGGTAGTTCTCTTTTCACAATGTACTCGAAGTGTGATAGTCTAGAGGAATCTTACAAAGTTTTTCAGCAAATTCCTGACAAAGACAATGTTTCATGGGCCTCAATGATTTCCGGTTTTGTGGAACATGGCTCTGCAGATCAAGCCCTTCAGCTATATAGAGAGATACCATTAGAAGAAATTGTACCTGACCAGATGACTTTAACTGCAATTCTAACCGTATGTTCTGCTTTGCGTTCCCTATGGACTGGTAAGGAAATTCATTGTCACGCTCTTCGCAGAGGAGTTGAACAAGATGTACTTGGTGGGGCAATTGTGACCATGTACTCAAAATGTAGTGCTCTATCATTGGCGAGGAGGGTGTTTGATATGCTTCCACAAAAGGATGAGGTTGCATGTTCCTCCTTGGTTTCAGGATATGCCCAAAATGGGTATGTCGAAGAGGCGCTTCAGCTATTTCATGATATGCTGATGGCAGATTTGACTATTGACTCCTTCACAATTTCCTCCATTCTTGGGGCCATTGCACTTTTGAATGGATTAAGTATTGGGACTCAACTGCATGCCCACATCACGAAAGTTGGCTTCAATTCACATGTTTCTGTCGGCAGTTCACTAGTGACAATGTACTCAAAGTGTGGAAGCATTGAAGATTGCCTCAAAGCATTTGATCAAATTGAGAAGCCAGATCTAGTTTGTTGGACAGCTATGATTGTGAGCTATGCTCAACACGGGAAAGGCGCAGAGGCTTTACGAGCATACGAGCTTTTGAGGGAACAAGGAATCAGGCCTGATTCAGTGACTTTTGTTGCACTTTTATCTGCCTGTAGCCATAACGGATTGGTTGAAGAAGCTTATTTCTACTTTAATTCAATGGTTCAAGACTATGGCCTAAAGCCTGGTGATCGTCACTATGCCTGTATGGTTGATCTTCTTAGTCGATCAGGCAGACTGAAAGAGGCTGCAACATTCATTAACAATATGCCTATTAAACCCGATGCCTTAATATGGGGAACACTGCACGCTGCTTGTAAAGTTCATGGCGATATGGAGCTTGGAAAGCTAGTAGCTAACAAGATGATGGAGTTGGAGCCATCAATGGATCCTGGCGCATATGTTTCCATTTCAAACATGTATGCAGATGTGGGCCAGTGGGAAGAAGTCATCAAGATTAGAAACCAGATAAAGGGAACTGATATGAGAAAGGAACCTGGTTGGAGCTTTGTGTGAGCTACAAGTATAATATGATCTGGCAAGTCAGACTGCTGGTGATTTCTCCGTGCAGACTGGGTTTGAACTTTTTTTCTATGTCTCATACTTTGTTTCGCATTCCATGTTTTCGTTGGTTCTGTGTAGCCAAATAGTCTCACTTCGGAATCAGACAGACACTTGTACTTACTGCACATAGATTTGAACAAGCATGCCGAGGCAGGCATAAGTTTGGGATTAAGCAGATCCGAGGCCAAGCTGGTCCGAAAAGCCTAACTAACCGATCATTACAAATACAGAGGGAAGAAGATCAAGGCACACGCAATTTTCGATGAAAAAAGGAAGAATCATTTTCCTGTAACTGTTCTTTTTGTTTGGATGTAGTTCTTGCTGCCAAATCAACGAAGAAACAGACTGCAGGACGAGAGAACTGTGGCCAATGTTGCAAGGTTAGTGTAAACGCCTATCAGGACATCATTGTTATACAGAGATGGGTGCTCAACTTATGGGACAGTATGGAGCTTGAACCCACGACAGAACTCATCGAAATTGATTGATCTTAACGTCGTTCCAACTTCTAGATCGTAATTCATATGTAAGCAGCCAACAGATGGTTTTTGTACACTACAAGTGCGTTTTACTCGTTGAAATTCATTTCTTCTTTGATGGAAATAACGTTTACAAAATTGTATTAAGATCTTTCTCAACTTTTCTTCTGTCCGGCAACGTGATGAATGCCCAAAACTACGTTCTCGGATTTCCGACGGCACAGGTCTAGTAAAACCAAAGTGTATTCTATAACTCTAATACATTCATACCAACCTATATATTCTCCAACATGTGTATTCCTGTATCTACAAGACGCTCTATAAGACAACAGAGCAGGCCCTACACAATCCGCTTGTTCAAGGGGCACTTGGGTTCACATCTTCCTTGTCTCGTGCCGCCAGTTTGTTATGCGAGATAACTCAGACGTTCTACTGTTAAAACCTGAAAACATGTGCAAATCATGATTATATCATAAGTACTGTCCATACGAACAACACAAGGGAGCCAAGATTTAGTAACAAAAAACATTAATATCTTAATTTCGTTGTTCTATACAAGTACAAAGAAAGATCAGATAGTTTTGAAGCAGAATACTAAGAACAAAGTGACATATAAACGTGCATGCTTCCTCCAGTTAAACAGAGCACAAAAATTTAACTCGAATCATCTTCGTTATAAGCAGTTAAAAATTTCCAGAATTGGCACTCTCGGGGCAGCTTCTGTGAAAATATAAACCGATGCCAAGTCATTTTCAGTTTCATCAAAATATTTAACTTAATAAATATATAGGGATTCGGTAATAAGTACCAATTGTTCACCGTCTTTACAAAGGACGATTAGTTATCCATGCCCTTCCCTATACCAAATTTGTTGTTAGAAGTCCGAAAGGCCCCAAACATGATACTCAAGTTTCAACATTCAAAGTATCTGCCAAGTTCTGTGACAAACAAGGCTGTTAAACAGACAACACGAGGGAGTCAAGATTCAGTAATGAAAAACATTAACATCAGTTAGCCACTTAGTGATCAGTGATTTAGAGGCTGAGCAAGCTATTCATAATGAAACCTAGGCAGCAACAATAAAAAATTAAAAAATTAAAAAAAAAAAGATGGAACAAGTACCAAAAGTTCAGCAGTCACTTACCCTCAGAAGCTACAAGAGCACTGGTAAAAAAGTTTGTTACTTCAAGTTTATGCCATCATTGCGCTTACCGCCATATCAGGACTGAAGAAGTATATGCTCCATAAAAGAAGAACTGTATTTTTGCAACACTCAAGGACTTCGTTTTGAAGTCGTGGAAACACCTCGTTTGAAGCTCTTTTGTGTTTTCTTAACTACCTTTTTATCTCTAATTCCATCATAGAGAAGTTCATAGGCATAATAAGTTATATGACCCTTCTTCAACAAATCTTCTACAACAATCTTGGGTGCTGCTATTTCCTTCTTATCAGACTCGAAGATTGTACTAACAACATCAGGCACAATGCCTTCTGCACCATAAGGTAGATGATACCAACAGCGTCCTGAACTCTATGCTTCACACAAAGACAATTTAGCACTCTTCCGAAGGTCACCAGTGATGGAATGAACCCTTTCTCAATCTTCTCCAGGAGGAAATTGTACCCATGATCATCATTTCCTGCTTTACAGAAACCATCAATCATGACACGGTAAGTGAAACAGTCGGGGGCACATCCTTTGTCACCCATCTCACAAAATAGTTTTTGTGCTATACTACTGTTAAGCTTTTCACAGAAAGCATTGATCATGATATTGTATGTCGCTGTTGTATGAGATACATTATATTCATGTTTCATTCTTGTAAATAGGTCATATGCTCCATCCAAATCCCCATTGCCACACAAACCATTAATCAACGTGCCAAAACAAACAATATCTGGAGTCAAGCCCTTGTTTCTTATTTCCTGTAGCATGTTCAAGGCCTCAGGTCACTTTCCGGGCTTTGCAAAGGCTTTCTACAAGTATGTTATATGTAATAATGTTAGGAATACTCCCCTTCTCCATCATTGCTTGAAAAGTACGGATCACATCCTCGTATTTGGCAGCCTTGCAAAGGCCATTTAACACAGTATTGTACGTGATCACATCAGGGGTAACACCATGACTCCACATGCCACTAATGACCTCAAGAGCACTATTCAGATTCGACTGTTTACAGTAACCATCTATTAATGTATTGAAAGTAAATATGTCGGGAAGGCATCCTCTGGCAATAGCATCATTCATTAGTTTACTGGCATCAGATACATAACCCATCTTGCACAACCCGTTTATAACCAAGTTGTAAGTCCAGATATCGGGACTGCAACCATTGCTTGACATCTCATTCATCAGTTGCAAAGCTTCCAAGAAAAGCCCATTCTGAGACAACCCTTTTACCAACGTGTTATAGAAAACAATATTAGGCTTGAATCCCTTTCCTAATACCTCATTGAATAGAGCTAGGGCACGGTCGATCTCGCCATCCTGGCATAAACCCTTAATCAAAGAGCAATATGTGAAGTCATCGGGTATGAATCCCTTGAAAATGGCATCACTGAGAATCTTATCTGCTTTTTGTATCATACCCAATTTGCAATATCTATCGATAATACTGTTGTAGGTAAAGGTATCAGGCCAAAATCCATTGTTCACCATTTTACGCATATAGCCCTCTGCTTCCTCAACCTTGAAGTTTTTACACAAGCCAAAGATCAATGTATTATACGTGACAACATCTGGAGTTAAACCTTCCATCATAAAACCATCCAGCATTCTGACAGCCAAATTAAGTGAACCGCTGTTGCAGAGCCCTTGAATGAAAATATTTAATGTAAACAAATTCGGAGACACACCCCTCTTCAGAACCTTGTTGAGAAGTTTTTCAATTTCTTGGATATGACCCTTCTTGGATAATGTATGAATAAGCTTGTTAAATGTGGTAATGTTGGGACATACACCTTGCCCGAGCATGTCTTTAAACAATTCATATGCCTCGATCCGGTAATTCTCTTCATAAAATCCACCTATGACTGTACAATATGCAACGGCATTGAACTCACACCCCTGGGTAGGCATGTTATTAAGCAGTCTCAAAGCAACATGAGGCCTGCTAGTCTTACAGAAAGACTTTATCCGTATTGTATAAGTATACACATCCGGATCAATCCCATTATCTCTCATCCCCATATACAGCTTATGCGCTTGATTGAAATATCCATACTCAATGAGCACATTCATGATTGCGTTATAAGATTGAACTGAGGGCTCACAATTATAAAACTCCATCCGCTGAAACACATTAACAGCTTCTTCAACCTTTCCTTTCCTTCCATAACTCCTCATGGCTCCAATGTACACTCCTTCTAGTAAGCTATTATCAACATTCATCCTCATCTCGGAAATCACACGCTCCATGGCTTCAAACTCGCCATGAAATCCGAGTTTTTCAACCATGCATTTGTAAGTTAGCACTGTGTGCTTAAACCCATCTTCCTTTTTCACCGAGTTAAACATTTCGAGCGCTTTAAACGGATCCTTTTGACACTTAACAACGGCAGCAACATGCTTAGGAAGTAAAACCCGACTCATTCGAATAATTCAAAAACTAATAGCAGACGATAACAAAACAACCCATAATCCACAAGAATTTGAAGCCTCAAGCTTTAGCTATCCTGAATCCACAAAAGGAAGAAAGAAACAAAAAGCTATCATCTTTTTTCAACTTAGACACAAAAATTCATCAGCATCAGCAGCATTTACTTAACCGGAAGAAGACAATTAAAGGGTCTGTTTGGTTGCTGGGAAACTGTAAAAAGTAACAAAAAAATGAATTCCTACTAGCTGGGATTAAGAGAAAGATTTACCTCTTGGCGTTCTGTGCTTTATCTCACAACCAAAAAAAGATCAAAACTTCATTTGTTTATCAACAGGATTTAACCGGTACCGTGGTACGTAAAGTAAATAATCTCCAAATATAAGGGCAATACCTAAAGTTGAACGCAGAGAATGCATTGTAATGGTTGCTGTTGCTAAAATTTCCCAAAATTGGGGAGATTAGGGTTTCAATTGCAGAGTTGGAGGGGTAAAGAAGAAGAAGTAACAAGGACTGGATCCTCTGCTGCGAGTGTATAGTTCCGTTTGGTCGAGTTACAATTATGATCCCGCCATGTCATCTATAAGTGGGACCCAAGAGGAAATTCTTGAACGAGGGGCGTTTATCCATTTAGCCAATAAAATGTGGTCACGTCGCCGGTTACTTTTCAAATAAAAGATGGGTTGATAATCGGAAAAATATCAACGTACTTGTTGATATTAAGTGGTTAGGCCGAACCAACCCTTGTCTCGATTTCTAAATCGAAATTTTCGGAATTCTCAATTTCAAGATTAATACTAAACCAAATTTTTGAGAATTTTGAAATAATCAATTGGAAAGCTTGTTGCTAGACTCTATACTATGATGGTGGAACAAACTCTAGATAGACTAAGTTTATTAGACAGAAACTTCACTTTACAACAAGAGAAAAAACAAAGGAACAATTTGGACAGTAGAGGTGTTGCTTACTGGGAATAACTTGAAGGGAAAATCCAATAATACTAGAAGATAAAAACTCATAGAAGACATAAATGACATCTGAATTAAGACTAGAGAGACTGATAATATGAGGCATAAAATGGCTTAAAAATCCAGTAGGATAAATAACAGCTACAAGATCAACTTATAGAAATTAGACTACTACAACTCCCAAAGCTCCTTTCACCATACCCTGCCCTGCTGCATCTTCATTTCCCCCCAATGACAAAAAAATAGCTTTCACACCTGGAACTTAAAAACCTGCTCCAGAATTTGTACAAAATCCTAAACTATACGAGTCTGCTTTAGGAATATAATATTGACATTGAAATTAACTTGTTTCATGTCGATTTAAGACTCGCATTCAAAATTGAACACCACCCTAATATCTTCAGTCACTAAAACAACCTATATACATGATAGAGACTTGAGACTAACATTGAATTTCGGCAAAACCCCAAATTGGAGATGTCTGATCAGTCACTAAAACATCCTAATTTTATAGATTTTTATTTTGGGAACATAATGAAGAATTGAAATCAACTTGATTCATGCTGATTTTTATACTATTTTCAATTTTCTAAAATGTGGATACAACGCATGCAAAGTTTCAAAGCTTGAATTATTCTGTAATTCATCTTGGTTCCTATTTAATTTGCATCCCACATAAACCATTCTCTACCGCAAATTCCCTAGGTTCTTGTATAGACACTGATGAACGAAATCCAAATTCCAATAATACTCAAATAATCAATTAGAAAATTACATACTTTGAATTCCTTAGCGGCGAATTTCAGCACTGATAGCGATAGGGGCAGTTCCAAAACAAGTTATTCTCCAGCGAGGTGAGGTGAGGTGAGGTGAGGTGAGGTCGACAGAGTGACTGAGTTAGGGTGACTAGGTGAGTTTGGGATTACCGAACAAATGCAAATCTGAGACCGATTCCCATACCGAATTTTTGGGATCGGTTCAGTAATAGGTACTGAAATTTTCGGGATTTTTGGTTTGGGATTTTTTCGGTTCGGTTTGGAATTTTTGGTTTTTTTTTCCACCCTTAAGACAAGCAATGAAATCATACTGTTTGACCTAATATTTTCTCAAGGCCTAATATTTATGGAAAAATGTGACTCAAACTGCATAATAAAAACCCAGACGACTTGATGCTCAAACCTTTCTATAGTCCTAGACTTATATAACATAGATATACTGTCACAGATACATTATCACAGTGGCGTTCAATGTAACAAGATAAAGATATGGGTAGTTTTCATTGTATGAAATTGTATTATTAACACAAGAAGTCATGTGAAGGTAATCGCATAAGTTGTTCTTTCTGGTCCTATTATACACTTCCTTCTCTGACTTGGCAAGATCAGTGAGATAGACCGCATGAGGCCTCGTGAATGAGCGTACTATAGTATCACCAAAATCCCCCTCGCTGCCAGACTCGTCGTCTCCGATCGTCAAAAGCATAGACAAAGCTCGAAACTTTTAGAGAGAGAGAGAGAATGTTGGCGGCGGAAGAATGGCTGAAAAGGCGTTGGTGGATCTCTACAGGAAGATGGAAACGGGGGGTTTAGATAAGGATATGATATCAGGTTTGGTCTCCTACTGCGAGCTCGCCAATCCTCATGACGCCAAAGAATACCTCGACGTGAGCCCAATTTCTTACTTGTTTTTCTCCAATTAATTTGTGTTCTTGGGTTTACAGTTTTGTGCAAATTCTTAGAATTTGTGTAAAATTTAGTGAAAATGTTTATGTTGGTATTGGATTTGTGGGTCTGTTTAACCCAATTGTTGATTGCAATTTAGGGTTGAGACTTGAGAGGCACCGATTGGGATCTAATGAGAAAGCTTTCGTTGTTGGTTTGGACAATTCGAATTAGGAATGTTGTGGTGTTTTATTGGAGTACATTTGAAATTTGGCAAACAACTTGTACTAGAACAATTGAGTTTTTCCTTTTGTCTTATGGGGTTCTTGTTTTGGACTGGACTTTGAGACGAATGCTAGGGTATATCTTTCGTCTATTTGAGAGTGTATGCAGTTTGGTTGGGGATTCAAAATAACTTTTATGGTTATTGATTGAGATACCGTATCTGAGTTAAACTAGGTAAAAGTTATTAGACCATCTCCAACCGAAGGGTCTAGAGGGCCAGAGGGTCAAAAATAGCTCGAAAACCGTCTCCAATCGAGGATTAGGCCAAAGGGCTGTGAAATATGAGAGGGCCCCACGGAATCGGAGAGGGCTAGAGGGCTGGCGGGCTGGCTTCATGCAGCCAGCCAACCAGCTCGGGGCTGGCCAGAAAATAAAGCATTCTTGTCGGTTATAACCAACAGGAATATATTTATATTAAAAATTAAATGTATTCCTAACCGACAGGAATATATTTATATTAAAAATTAAATGTATTCCTATCAGTTATAACCGACAGGATTGCTTAAAAAAAATTTGAATACAACGGCTAGTCAACTAGTCGTTGTATTCATTTTTTTTTTCTTTTTGGTTTTTTGGGCCTTTTTTTTTTTTAAATTCTTAAAAATTCTAAATTTTTTTTCCTATAAATACCTAAACCATTCATTAAATTTATGTTCTAATTTTTTTGGTTTTTTGGGCCAGTTATCGTTGTAGTTTTTAAATTTAAGTTGTTGGATTTGAATTTAAGTTGTTGTAGTTTTTAAATTTAAATAATAAATTATGTTTGGCCCTATGGTCCTTTGGCCCTTTGGCCCTCGGTTAGAAATGAAGGCAAATATGGTCTTGTACTGTTCATTAAAATATTAATATCTTGGAGAATCTTGGAGTGCCAGAGGGCTAAAACGAGCCATTTGGCCAGTCATCGGTTGGAGATAGCCTTAGGTGGTGTGATGGAATATTGGAGTGTTACTGAATTGAAGAAAGAAATGATTGTTTGTGTAGTTCCTTTACTTCTAGAACCACATATGTATATGTTTGTATGTTGGTATTTAAGATTACATGTTTTCTATGCAAAACATAATCGGGCAGGAGGTCGGCAAATTTGTGATTGAGGAATATTTGCAAAAACGAGGTCGCTCAGATTTTTGCAGCAGCACCCTTGTTGTTTCAACCTCAAGTTTGCATGCCTATGTTAAACCACCCTCAAATGAAGGTTGTGCAAGTGGAAACAAGAAACTGTTAAAAACACCGAAAATGGCTAAAGTCTTACGTGATCAAGCAGCTTTTAGCAATCAAGTGAAGCAACTTTCAAGTTCAAATAATACAAACCCAGGTAATTCTAAGAAGAAGAAAGCAGGGAAAGTCGTTTCACTTGCAGAGGCTGCCAAATGATCAATTGTATTCAACCAAAGGAAGCCATGCTTGTCACATCCCGGGCCGAGCCCCCACCGCATCATGGGCTAGACTTCACCGTAGCACAATATTGTCCACTTTGGGCCCCTACCACGCCCTCACGGTTTTGTTTTTGGGAACTTTCACGAGAACTTCCCAGTGGGTTACCCATCATAGGATTGCTCTCGTGCAAACTCGCTTAACTTCGGAGTTCTTACGGAATCCGAAGCCAGTGAGCTCCCAAAAGGCCTCGTGCGAGGTAGAGATGGGAATATACATATAAGGCTTCTGCTACTGTGGTATGTGTTGCAAAGTAGTCACTCTGGTCATCAATAACTGTAGTACGTGCTGCAGAGTCTCGATCATACTTAACGAGTCTCTTTGCATAAGCTTCTGCTATTGTTTCAACAGCTGATGTGGGGGCAAAACTTTCCTCCAAACCAGCATACGTGCTGCCTTCCTTCAGCACAAGAGCTCCATAAAAATTGCAAGGCATCTCACCTCCTTGCTTACAGACTATCTTCCTGCAAGATAAACAATTGCTCACAAATCTGTGCACGACGGGCTTGGCATGAGCATTGTTAGATCCCACATTGCACAGGGGAGTGGATCCTGTAAGCCTTATATGTATATTCTCATCTGTGCCTAGCACGAGGCCTTTTAGGAACTCATTGGTTTCAGATTCCGTAGGAACTCCGAATTTAAGCGAGTTTGCACGAGAGCAATCCCATGATGGGTGACCCACTAAGAAGTTCTCATAAGAGTTCCCAAAAAAAAAAACCGTGGGGCATGGTCGGGGCCCAAAGCCAATAATATCATCCTACGGTGGAGTCAAGCTCAGGATGTGGTGGGGGCCCGGGCTAGGATGTGACAATTTGGTATCAGAGCCTAGGATTGGCAGCCCTACATATCTTGTAAATATTCTAATTATTTTGGTGTCTTCTATCAGAACTATGTTGTCTCGTAGAGAGCCACGTTCTTCGATTAAGTCTAGTTTCCCCGATATTGCTCAGTTAGGGGAAGATATAGTCAATGCTATTCAATCTTCGCTTCGTCCTCCCCAGATGACTCCCATGGAGACTATGTATAATTTGAAGTTGGATAAGTTTGTGGGTAGTGAAGGACATGAGGGAGCTGAGCAGTGGCTCAATCATCTTGAGAAAACTTTTCGTTTAATGCAAAGACAGGGAAATCTCCCTGAGGATAAGTGGGTTAAGACGACTACTTGGTTATTAGGTTAGGAGCCTACATCCTGGTGGAGACAAAAGTCTTATCAGTTATCACCAGAGGAAGCTGCTGATTAGGAAGTTTTTAAACAGTTATTTCATAAGAGATTCATACCTCTAAAGCATATAGATTGTAAAAAGCAAGAATTTACGCACCTGAAATAGGGAAAGATGACAGTTAATGAGTACTACAGGAGGTTTACTGATTTGTCTCGCTATCACCTGGAGATTGCTGCTAATCCGATGGAGATGCTCCGTCGTTTTAGGTTGGGTCCTACCTAAAACAGATAGTCACTTCTTTCGAGTACCCAACCTAAAACGACGGAGCATTTCCACCAGATTAGTAGCAATCTCCAGGTGATAACGAGACAAATCAGTAAACCTTCTGTAGTACTCATTAGCTGTCACCTTTCCCTATTTCAGGTGCGTAAATTCTTGCTTCTTACAATCTATATGCTCTGGAGGAATAAATCTCTTATAAAATAACTGTTTAAAAACTTTTGAATCAGCAGCTTCCTCTAGTGATAACTGATAAGACTTCTATCTCTACCAGGATGCAGGCTCCTGACCTAAAACCTAGGTAGTCGTCTCAACCCACTTATCCTCAAGGAGATTTCCCTTTCTCTGCATCAAACGAAAAGTCTTCTCAAGATGATTGAGCCACCGCTTAGCTCCCTCATGTCCTTCATTACCCACAAACTTATCCAACTTCAAATTATACATAGTTTCCAGGGGAGTCATTTGGGAAGGGCGAAGCAAAGACTGAATAGCATTGACTATAGCTTCCCCTAACTGAGCAATATCTGGGAAACTAGACTCAGCCGAGGAACGTGACTCTCTACGAGATGACATAGTTCTGACAGAAGACACCAAAATAATTAGAATATTCACAAGATATGCAGGACTGCCAACCCTAGGCTCTGATACCAAATTGTCACATCCCAGCCAAGGCCCCCACCACATCCTGGGCTCAACTCCACCGTAGCACGATATTATCCGCTTTGGGCCCCGACCATGTCCTCATGGTTTTTTTTTTGGGAATTGTCACGAGAACTTCCCGGTGGGTCACCCATCATGGGATTGCTCTCGTGCAAACTCGCTTAACTTCGGAGTTCCTACGGAATCCGAAGCCAGTGAACTCCCAAAAGGCCTCGTGCTAGGCAGATATGGGAATATACATATAAAGCTTACAGGATCCACTCCTTGGGCAATGTGGGATCTAACAATGCTCATGCCAAGCCCGTCGCACACAGACTTGTGAGCAATTGTTTATCTTGTAGGAATATAGTTTGTGAGGAAGGGGGCGAGGGGCCTTGCAATTTTTGTGGAGCTCTTATGCTGAAGGAAGGCAGCACGTATGTTGGTTTGGAGGAAAGTTTTGCTCCCACATCAGATGCTGAAGCAGTAGCAGAAGCTTATGCAAAGAGACTCGTTGAGTATGACTGAGACTCTGCAACACGTACTATAGTTATTGATGACCAGAGTGACTACTATGAAATTGAGGGGAATAGTTGGTTGTTAAAGGATGTTCGTAATTTCTCGCTCCATTTTTGGAAAACATAATATGAATAAAATTTGTGCATGCTTGTATGTTAAATTCACTCACATCTTCATCCCTAATCCTTTTTTTATTACTTCCATGAAAATGAACTTTTGACAAAGAAGCAGGAGGAGATTGTAGAAGTTGAGCAGATCAAACGAAGTAAAGTAGTTGTATCTTTTGACTTGGTTGGTCGCAAGGTAATTATAACTTCGTCGATTGTGTGTTTGTATGAGTACGGTTTGTTGTTGTAAAACTTATCTTATGAGATTTGTTGTTATATACTTCCATATTGCTTTTGCAGCTTTAAACCACATTTTCCTAAACATGCATTTTGCCCATCCCATATTTTGTGTTCCGCAGGTCCTTGTAAATGAAGATGAAGCTTCTGAAGTAGAATCAGAAAGCAGAATATTGAGGCCCCAGGATGAAAAGGAAGTAAACTGCATCAAACCAAACCTTTCTCTTAAAGTACAACCAGTCTTTGTGGATCCGGGCCCTAGTAAGAAGCCTGTTCAAGGTAGAAAGGCAAACAAGACCCTAACAAAAGGCTTGTGCTTGGAGATAACCGGGAGGGTGCAACATGTCATCGATGAATTGAAACATTTTATGGTGGACAATCAACTGGAAACTGCTTCAAATGGGAAGTTTTCGCAAGGGACGCCTGTAAGTAGGGAGTACGCTTGATGATGATGGAGAATGTTTTCTGGATTTCCATGGAGGGCAGGTTTGTGGTTTCATTTTTACTTTGCTCCAACTTCTGTTGTTTTGGAAGGATAAAAAGAACAAAGGGGTTGAATGAAATATACAAGTTTCAGAACACCATTAGCTATATTATAATCTTCCCTTTCATTGCTTGTAATCCATTTTCGAGAATTTTGAATGGTTGAATTCCCTTAACTCAAACAGGTGTAGTCATTGCCCTAGAATAATCGGCATATGAGTTTAGTTGCGGCTGAAATAGTCCCGAAAATTGGATTTTCATGTGATCTGTTGAAGGTACTGAAATAGTTATGTGAACCCACTTACCAAACCTAATCCCCCAACGAAATCGCCAAGAACTCTACATGCATTATCAACAGCCTTCAAACAACTGCATTTGGCTCTACAGGCATACTTTTCACAAACTTGCAGGTCTCCTCTAGCCTTCCTGCTCCTGCATACATATCAATCACGCATCCGCAGTGCTCGATTGTGGGCTTGATATGGTAAGATTTGCGCATTTCCTCGTACAAGTTCAGACCTTTGTCAAACAAACCAACACGATCGCACGCTAATAGAACACCGATGAATGCAACAGAGTTCGGTTCAACTTTCCCAGCACACATTCTCTGGAAAGCAAGAAGCGCTTCCTTATCAAACATAACTTTAGCTCGGGTCATGCTCCCGCATTTTGCATACATGTCTATAAGAGCATTGTGCAACACACTACTCCCCTCCCCTTAATAATAACAATTGACCTCGAGTAATGTTTGAGGGTGCCTCAAGTCGAGTCGTTGTATTTCTAAATCTTAATAAAAGAGGCCCTAAATGTCTTTAATGTGTTAGTAAAAATGGTACTTTATATAAGCTTAGACTTGTGTTAGCATTTTTTTTAAAGAAAAAACTAATGAAAAAGGTTTGAAAACTTTGAGTTTTAATAATAAAGACAAAATAAAGGATAAAGTGAATAGTACCAGGATTGACTTTTTCGTGTAAAAAGTGATTTTTCGTTAAAGTGAACAGTACCATGGGCTTTTTGTTAGCACTCCTTTTTTTTTTTGGTCCGTAATTTACAAAAAAAATTTGTATGCACTTAAAAGATCAAGGTATTGGAAACAAGTTCAGTTCTTTGATCCATTTTGGCCTTGGCCCGAAATCTATCATCAGCTAAACAATCATTTGGATATGCCATTTTGGGCTTTTCTCTAACCAAAACTATTATTGCATCGTTTGCCCTTGATGGTGGTCTTTTTGATCTCATCTGTATTTTGATTGTTTTGTAGGGTTAAAATTTAAAAAATTCGATTCCACATGAGGACAATTTCCTTTTTGAGTAATGGGAAATAGAAAGCAAACTAGTCCTCGAAAATGCTCGTTAAGGTTAGAACTTACAATTCCCTATGTGACTCACGGTCGAACAAATCATGTCATTTATACATTTAATCTTCTTCTAATAAGGTCCCACCACGAGCTTACTTTCATCTCAATACCTTTTAATCGTGTGTGGGTATACAGACGACGTAATTCTCACACCAGACTTCCACCAAATTTACGTAAACATATGGTACCTTTCAAATTTACCCTTTCACCAAAAAGCAAAGCCATCATCTTTGGCCCAAAATTTGTGTGCTATTTTACCCTTAAACGACGTCGTTCCCCAACACAACCCCTCATGTTTTTCCTGTTGCCGCGGGACCCAACCGATTGGGAACTAAAATGGCGGGATCTGATTGGGTGGAAGCATCATCAACCCTGAAAGATTTTTTAGTTATCGTCACACGAGATAGTACATCAAATGTTCCTATATAAATAGTGAGTTATGTATGTTAAAAAGTTAATAACTTAAAAATTAAAATTTTTCACTACTTACATAAATACACATAATGTATTATCCGTATTCCGTCACAATTAAAAATTTATAGTAAACATACAATCTTAAAGTCACTAACTTCAATTGAAACAGTGTTTCCCCGAACCCCCAAAAAAAAAAAAAAAAAAAACAACTGAATTGAAACAGTGTGTGCGTCACAGAAGAACAACAAAAGCATCCTCGGCCTCATCGTACTTTGTCTTTCCAGTTAACAACGAAAGAAGAACAACGGCAGAGCCGCTCGTCCCGCCTCCGAAATCAAATTCGTGTCAGAATTTTAGCCGCTGCCCACGATTTCTGCCGCATTTTCTCGATAAAATTGTCGTCTTTTTTGTTTTTTGTTTTTTTTTTTTTCTGGATGTCTCCGTCTGTGTCGTGGGTTATGGATTGCTGGAGTTGAAATATACGTTTGATTTGAACCGACCCGAAAAAGATTCGTGCTTTTCGCTCCCTGAGATCCGTAAGACCTCTCGATCCTTTTGATTTGGATACGAATTCTGTGTTCTTTACGCAGGCTGCATTTTTTTTCTGATTATTTTATTTTATGGGATTTAATTGATAGTTTTATTAGTTTTTTTGAATCCCGTTTTGCTGTGGTGTGCTTTGTACTTGATTTTCTTGGAGTAACTGTGATTGACGAATTGTTGGTTAGTTTCGATTTTTCGAGTTTGTGAGACGTTACCTAAGAAGAAAAAGAAAATGGGGAACAAACTGAAACAGTGGAATTGCAATTATACGATTCAATGATTTGTGTTTCGACCAATGTGTAATTTGTTTCGCGTGGAATTGAGCTTCAAGGTTCCAAATAATAAATTTTCGAAAATTTGACTTGTTTTTGACATCAACTCATCAAGGTAGTCAAGTAGTTGTGGAGTTTGGATAGAATATGGAACATACTTTCTGCACTTTTAGACATTTAAGGATCTTCCATATATTTCGTTTCATTTATTTGAAAAATGTCCTAACTGGTTTCGGGATCCCAAAATACATTTAGGCACATCATGGCGACAAAAGGGAACTCAGGAGACAACAGGAGTCGAAGCTCCATGTCAATTGTCATTGTAGCTGGCCTGTGTTGTTTCTTTTACATATTGGGTGCGTGGCAGCGAAGTGGTTTTGGGAAGGGAGATAGCATAGCTGTGGAGATTACCAGACAGACAGACTGCAGTATCCTATCCAATCTGAATTATGAGACCCATCGTGGTGGGATTGACAATTCTGAAGGAGTTGGCAAGGAGTTCAAATCATGCGGCGATCGCTATATTGATTACACTCCCTGCCAAGATCAAATGCGAGCAATGACTTTCCCCCGAGAAAATATGAATTACAGGGAAAGACATTGTCCGCCTGAAGAAGGGAAGCTACATTGCCTTATTCCGGCACCCAAAGGCTATGTAACTCCATTTCGATGGCCCCAAAGCCGTGACTATGTACCTTATGCCAATGCTCCCTATAAAAGCCTGACAGTTGAGAAGGCTGTTCAGAACTGGATTCAGTACGAGGGCAACGTGTTTAGGTTTCCTGGTGGTGGAACACAGTTTCCACATGGAGCAGATGCATATATCAATGAACTTGCAGCTGTGATCCCAATGGACAATGGGATGGTTAGAACTGCATTGGACACTGGATGTGGGGTAATTTTAATTTTTTTCTTTTTTTCATTTTTCTGCTCTTTTTAATGTCTTGGCTGTAAATACTGCTATTCTCAAACACATCCGTACTGTTGTCCCTCGTTGAAACTTACAACCCAATTTTCAAACACCTAGCAGTTATTGCACGTTGTCTTAGAATTTGATTTATCACCCATGTTGGTTCATGCTTCATAGGTTGCCAGCTGGGGTGCCTACCTATTTAAGAAAAATGTTATAGCAATGTCATTTGCGCCAAGAGACTCTCATGAAGCACAAGTTCAATTTGCTCTGGAAAGAGGTGTTCCGGCAGTTATTGGCGTCCTTGGAACTATAAAGCTGCCTTACCCTTCTAGGGCCTTTGACATGGCTCACTGCTCTCGTTGCCTGATACCGTGGGGTGCAAATGGTGATGCTCATAAATTAGCCACTGATATTGCTTTACGTTTTATGAAGTTTAAGTGATTTTCATTCCTCATTTTCTTTTTGGAAAAAAGGCAAGCTTTCATAACTTTTAGGTAAGGATATCATTTATGACGTGAAATCATCCTTGGACTTCTTCTGCAGATGGAATGTACATGATGGAAGTTGACCGGGTTCTAAGACCTGGTGGTTATTGGGTGCTTTCGGGTCCTCCTATTAACTGGAGGAATAATTATGTAGCGTGGCAGCGCCCTAAAGAAGAACTTGAGGAAGAACAGAGGAAGATTGAAGAGGTTGCGAAACTTCTCAACTGGGAAAAGAAGTATGAGAAGGGTGAAATTGCCATTTGGAGGAAACTAACAACTTCTGAGTATCGTCGTGACCAAGATCCCCAACTGAATATGTGTGAATCCAATAATGCCGATGATGTTTGGTATATCACTTTATTTGATCTACTGACTCTTTTACAATTTTGATTGAACATTTATTGGCTATCAGTTTACCTTGAGCTTTTTTTGCCATTTCCAAAGCAGTATTTAACCTTTTTCTGTTTCATAGGTACCAGAAGATGGAGTTGTGTGTAACTCCTTATCCTGAGACTTCTGATGCCAATGAGGATGCTGGTGGGCCATGGAAGCCATTCCCGGAGAGGCTTAATGCTTTACCTTTCAGAATATCTAGTGATTCTGTCCCGGATGTATCTGCTGAGACATTCCAGGAGGACAATAAGGCATGGAAGAAACACGTAAATGCTTACAAGAGGACTAACAAGTTAATGGATACAGGAAGGTACCGCAACATTATGGATATGAATGCCGGTCTGGGAAGTTTTGCTGCTGCTCTCGACTCTCCTAAATTGTGGGTTATGAATGTTATGCCTACAATAGCTGAGAAAGACACATTGGGAGTTATATTTGAACGTGGATTGATTGGCATTTACCATGATTGGTAATTCTCGAACATTTCTTTTCTGTTTGTTCTTCTCTGCGACAATAATGTTCTCAAACTGGATTTTAAATATGCTGAGGATTAGGATGTAAAATAGCATCTGTCTTGCTGCTTAAAACCAATCATTCGTCCAGAGTCATGCTCTTGGCCTTCGTAATTATGTTTTCTTGACATGCTATTGTGCTTGATAATCTTTTTTATCTTCCTCCAGGTGTGAAGCCTTCTCCACGTATCCAAGGACATATGACCTTATTCACGCAAACGGTGTTTTCAGCTTGTACAAGGACAAGTACGTCGTTTTTGACCCTGCTTGTTACTATTGGTTGCAAATGGTGTTTCTCCAATCAATCAAAGGCACTCGATCTTTTTGTACTAATAAAAGGCCAATGCAGGTGCAATGCTGAAGACATTCTTTTGGAGATGGATCGCATTCTACGGCCTGAAGGAGCAGTGATATTTCGTGATCACATGGATGTGCTAGTCAAGGTGAGCAAACTTGTGAGAGGAATGAGATGGAACACGAAAATGGTGGACCACGAAGACGGCCCTCTTGTTCCTGAAAAGGTATTGTTTGCGGTTAAACAGTACTGGGTTGCTGGTGAAGACAAAGCTACAACGTCGGAATGAATAAGAAGCAAAAGGGGCGCGTCTCCTATAGCATTTTTATTGATTGCCTTGTTCTCACCCCTCTTCTTTAAGTAATTAAGTGATTTTTTCATTTTCTTGGTCCTAAAATGTTCAAGTTCTACGGCATTTTCTTTTGAGTTAATGTTTAGTTTTTCTTTTCTTTTTTAACTTGATTAATTAACGATTTAATTCAATTTTATTATTAATTTAATTTTAATACGTAGTATGGAGTAAGGAAATTTACAGTGTTCTTGAATTTCAAGTGTACTAATACAAATTAGCTTAACTTATCTGTATAAAATGCAAACCTCTTGATAATGTTAAACTTATCGGGGACATCGTTGTGACGTTATCTCAAGTCAGTCATGCACTATTGTGCGTTTTAACTTTTTCATATGGCCAGTCAGTGATTGGCTTGGGATCGTAACAATATAGCATCTCTCCGTTGCATGGAAGTCCTTCTCCCACATATTATTTAGTGCAAACTGAAGAGTACACGGCACTTACATGTGATGAGGGAAAGAGAAGGTGGAATGGTTGCAATCAAGCCCCAAGAATGTAGGACCTTCCCACAAGCCTACCTACAGGAACTGGTTCTCAAGAAGCCTGTCAATCTCCAAAGTCCAACCCTCCAAAAGCTCCTTGTCTTTCCAAAATTCCTTTTCTAATTTTGTGCTTTCTCCCTTTGTTAAATTTAAACATACTCAAAGAATCAAGCTTCAGTAGAAGCCATGGAAGGAGACGCCAACAACGGTACTCGTACTCAGGACTGCTTCATTTTCTTCTCACCTCAGAAGAGCAGAAGGTAACTTTGTAGTCAAGCTTGCAGGATCAGTTCATATTCCGAATCCCCCTCCTGCCACGAAGGCTGAGGGTGAAACCAGCGTCTTTGGTGCGGAGAAATATTTCAGCATGATGCTGGAAGATGACGGTCCACGACTTGTGGGCTATGACACAAGCAAATTCGGGCAGAAGAAGAAAGAAAATAGTGGTGGTCAGCAGCACAAGCAACCAACGAGCAGGCCAGGAACTCCTAGTACTTGTTCTGAAGCGAGTTGGAACAGCAAAAGCGGCTTCTTATCTTCGATGAGAACCCCGTCTCAGAGCAAGAAGAAAAAGGTAAATCGAAAAATCAATATCTTTTCGAGTTTTAGCTGCAATGGATCTTGCTCAGATAAGAAATCCATATCTGTTCATGAGATGAATGCCAGTCATGGAGGTCGCGGCGATAAAGATTTTAAGAAGCAAAACGTTGGGAATATTGATCACAATCCTGCTAAGCAGCCTCAACCAAGATTTAAGGCAAGAGATGAGGTGTACTACTCCAGCTTTGAAAGGTCAAACAAGGAAGAGCATATCGCATTGGCAATTTGAACTCCGGTGCGCAGAAATTGGTAGGTAAATCACAGTTGGAAGAGAAGACAATGAAAGAACAAGAAGGTCCCCAGAAATTGCTCGAGGTGGTTGGATCCCAAAGGATGAAGGAAGATAATGTCGCAATAAATTCAGAGAGGAGATTGTCCATGCTAACTTCGGATGCCATTCCAAAAGCTCCAGTGATGAATGAAGATGCCGAGAGTGATGCTAGTTCGGATTTGTTCGAGATAGAGAGCCTATAGGGGAATGGGATGCCTATGACCTGCCACCAGGGACTAGTCCAGTGACACCGGCATGGAGAAAACGGCGGTAAAAGGTCTTACACCGGCTCCAACAACGACTGGCAATTGGAATCTTCAATGTAATTAGGGAAAGTTACCATTTGAAACTGGTAAAATTAAATCTTTGAGAAAATTGTTCTAAGTTTATCATGAACTTTACTTTCTGATTGTATCTTGCTCATGTATTTCATTTCTGCTAGTTGAATGCATGAATTCAATTTAGAAACCTTACCAATAGGTCAAATATACAGTCTCGCTATTTCCGTTGAAGAATGTGAAGTCCCAGGTCGGAAACTTGACAAACTAAAATACAACTATAATCTCCCGTCTAGTGAACTGCGCAAACAATTAAGTTGGGGACAACGTCCGTATTTGATTAGTTGTGTTATCTCATAAGAGAACAACATTTTCTTAAAATATCCTCATGTCATTCAAAGACAAAATACCCCAAAAACATTGAGAGCAAAGATTCCACACTTTCTAGGGCCATTTTCCACACCTTTTTAGTTGTGAGTTTATCTTGTTTTCTTGATTTGCAAGTGGCTGGCCAATGTGCCATTCATGTTTTGGAGCTTCTTAACGACTTCTAACAGAAGCTGCTTTTTTAAAAACGACTTTAACAGCAGCTGCTTTGGCAAGTAGTCGGCCAAATATCTCAAATTAGAAACTAAGGGAGAGTTTGTTTGTCTTCATTAGCTCTCACTGGACTAAGAGTTAGTGTAGTCTCGTGCTTGTTACTCGCAAAGACTTAACTTTAATGGAATTATAAGAAACTTGCCTCAACTAAAGATAATCCAGTGCAAGTGCAATAAATGCTCCTTAAAAGGCCTTACAACCGGAGGTCATGCTTCAGAAAGTGCGAGCACTCATTCGTCAGAAGCCCTAAAACTTTCTTTGCAGCCCGACATGGGCACATTATTGAGAGAAAATTCACAACTTAGCACAGTTGGATAAAAAGCTTCTGTCTTGTCAACAAGTCAGCCGTAGCATTAGCTTGTTCATGAAAGAATAACTCCTTCCATGTGATGAGCCGAGTATTTTCTGTTGAGATGTCACATTTTTTTTTCCTTGTGAGTTTGATATGATTAATTAGAAGGATGGACCGTTAAGGAATATCAACATAGCGAGTTGGGTGGCAACATTCAATTCTGTAACTATCTTACAACTAAAGGTGGATCCCATTCTCTCTTCTCTCCCTTTCATGTAAGAGCAAGTTCACTCCTCTTTGAAGACTGGCTCAAAGTTTAAAAAAATAGGCTGGCACCCTAAAAACCCACTCTACCCCACAAAATTGATCGGCCCAAAGTTCACCCCAGTCTCTAGGCCAGCCTAGAATGGGCTGAGTGAGGAACATACCTATCTAACGGTCTAACGTCAGCCAAGGCTTATTCTTTTTTTTTTCGGCTAGCGCGCTCCAAACTTAAAAAAAAAAAAAAATGTCAGAATCTCACCATGGGCCACGTGTCCACTTTTGGGCTGTTGGATTTCAACATTTTTGAAATCCAACGGCCCATATTAATTAACTTAATAAAAAAATTATAAAAAATGTTTTAAAATACAGAAAAAAAATTAAATGATTTTTTTATACATATAAATACCTAACCATCTTCTACAAAAATTGTACTTTCAGAAAATGACACGTGGTTGACAAGATTGGTTAAAAATTCTATCCGAAATTAAAAATAAAATTATTTTTTTATCATTTTATAAAAAAAAAAAAAATTTAATACGAATTGACTAAACTTTGGGCCAGCTCATTTTTTAGGGGTAAAAATGCACTTGGCCAATGACCATTCAATCAAGTCAATTACTATTCATTTGGGTGGATTAAATGGACTTTGCTTTTAGGGATGGACTTGCTCTAATAGAAACTAGGTTTGACAAGTAAAATGCTGCATAAACAAGATTTTTGTCCAATGTTGAGAGTATGAATTCCGCATCCAGGAGTTAACGCCTACAAAATAGTTATATGATCTTAAAGTCTTTCTGCATATAAGGGCTTGTAGTTCAAGTAGTTAAGAGTATTTACCAGTCTATCCACGCATTGTCAATATTAAAAAAATCCTATCGATTGCATTTCAGAAAGCTCGAACGGTAAAATCCATATGTCACCCCATAATGAAGGGGGCAATCTCAAATTATTGGTATGTGAAGTACATTAGGTGCTCCGTTTTATTTTTTCTTTGAGGCCGAACCTAAACTTGTGCTTGAGAGATAGTTGTCCTTACAATGATTGTACGGATTCTCTAGAAGTTTGGTTTCAAACTCTGGTTCAAATTAGAAGTTTTGAATTTGGATGCTCACATTCTAACATGATATCCAAATAGGCTATTAACACGTCCTACACATTCTAAAATCTTATCTTAAAAGAAAGAATAAATATTGATTAGGTGCCTAATAGTTGTCCATACAACAACAGATGACATTATGGATTGAGAGGGAAATATGGACCCTAATTGAAGAATTTGGCAGCTCATTCATCAGTGGTGCCAGCTGCCTAGTAGTAGTAGTAGTAGGAATTATTGCCAAAAATTGCAGCTTCTGAAAATTTGGTTCATATGCTTGATGTGGAAGTCCTTGCATATTATTATGCCATGATTTCCACAGTAAAACTCCCACAATTTACATTTGTTCTCTTTTTGAGCATGACAGTCACAGTGTCACACAATGTTACTAGTTCACGTGTTATATTATGATTTACGAGGTCTAAAAGACGTTATCTACCTAATAGCGCTCTGATTGAGGAACCTGTGGTGGTGAATGGGACGCATATTTGATATTCCTCAAGAAAAAATGGTGGCCTTGATCAAGTCCTTTTTTTGGAGAGAATGTCCCGAAATCTTCTACAGCTTGACATCCTATATGCATTGCCTGCTAGACAATATAAGGCAGCCTGTGCCCACTGGGGCAGCTGCCCCCACTCAACTTTCCTGATTTGAAAATTCCATATATTTATTAAAAATACACCAATATTCCTCGTATTCGCCTAACAAATGAATCAAATGCGTATATATAGTTTTGTGTGAGTGTGACAAATGTTGTTTTGAGCAAACTTTAATTTATCGCTACTCAATTAAATAAATTGTCAATATAATTAACATAAAAATTCGATTAAAACTGGCTACAATAGTTTTTTTTTTTTTTTTTTTTTAACAAAGCTACAATAGTTGATATATCAAACAAATACACACCATAACATAACATGTTATCACCAAATATAAAAAACCTTACCATTAACAAATTTTTTGCTTATTTTATAACTCAAAAGTTGCTCCTATTAGAAAAAATTTCTAGCTCCGTTACTCACATCGTCACGTTAAAAGAATCTTTGATAAACTGTGAAGTGTAGAGATGATAAAATAGAATCAATTATCCAATGTAATATGATATCATAATGTCAGGATCAAGAAAAATTGTGTAACCACTTGTGTTTGTTGATTAACATGCTCTTGACTTGTAATTTTAAATGCAAAGCTTGTCAGGCAAGCTTTTCCTATGAACTCTATATCAAGCTGCTTCAAGTAGTAGCATGAACTCAAGATTTTTTGATTGAGAGAGAGAGAGAGAGAGAGAGAGAGAGAGAGAGAGAGATGGCAGAGGAAAACAAAGTGACCTTATATAGAATGTGGGCAAGCCCTTTTGTTAAGAGGGTGGTTTTTGCTTCCAAACTCAAAGGCATACCCTACGAATACGTTGAAGAAGATTTGAGGAACAAAAGCTCATTGCTTCTCAAACTGAATCCTGTTCTTCAGCAAGTTCCGGTACTTGTTCACGACGGAAAACCGATTGCCGAGTCCCTAGTCATCCTTGAGTACATTGATGAAATCTGGAAAACTGGCCCTCAGCTTCTTCCACAAGATCCATATAAAAGATCTCAAGCTCGCTTTTGGGCCGGCTTTATGCCGCATGTGAGAGTTGCGAACAAAAAATGCAGTTTTTAAAATCCGTTTGATAAACATTTTGTGTATATAGTTTTTAGTTTTTATTTTGTGTCTATTTTATTACATTTCTTCCACATCCCTCACATTGTTCTTTCTTCACTTCTCGCCATCTTGACGCAACATGAAGTAGACAAAGGATTACCAACATAATCCCTTGTAGAATAAAGTCTGGAATTCACTAGAAAATTGACAGAAATCCCAAGGGGTTGTGATTGATTAATTCTTGAATGGTTGCAATTAATACATTTAGATGAGTTAAATAAAGATTACAACTCAAAGGACTTTTAGGAATTAAAACAACATTAATTGGATGCCAAATCCGTAATTTCCCACTACGTCCTTTTGTCTTCCGATGATCCATTTTTTCTTCAATCCATTCTACCATTTGTTCTACATCACATCTCTAACAAAAAGAATAAAAACTGAAACTATAGAGCTTACATATGCTTGTTGTTTGTTATAGATTTTTGAGAGTTTGGCCACAGTGTTGGAAACCAGTGGAGAAGCACAAGAGAAAGCCATCAAAGAAGTGAGTGAGAGAGTAAAGCTACTAGAAGAGAGATTGAAGGGTTACTACCCAGATGGATTTCCCAGGTCATTTGACCTAAAAGATGTGGGACTTTTATAAGTGGTCATTTTTCACACTAAAAATACTCCACTTGTATTTTCCTGCATAAGAGCTATGATCGGGATACCTGAGGTTAGTGAGATGCGGAATCCTCACGAGAAGGTGGTGGCTTTCCTGAAATTTGTTAGAGAGAATGCCCTTAAATCCGTAAAGTGACCATGTACTTTGAGTTGTATTTGCTTTATGCTGTGAATTATTTTGTTTTGTGTTAGAAATTCTATGATTTGGAATTCGGACCGCATGTTTCCTATGGACTAAGACACAAACAACACCCTAACCCCACCCCACAGCTCCTGATTTGTTATGCTAAACTGGCTCAGAATTTGGTCCCACTTCTCTTTCACGTGTCCCTAGTTCGGTTTCTTCACATAAGACTCTCTCGTGGTTAAGGAGTACACCTGTGGATATCTGCCACTTGATGTACGTAGAACCCCCACATCGTTGATGCCAGAACCTTGGCTTGAGGCATTTTCTTTACCCCTTCTTACTCTTAAAAATTACCGATAACCATTTTTCGGCTAACCTAGCCTCCTCTGTCCCCCTGGACCAACAAAGGGTACCTATTTATGTGGCAGGACGGGCCTTCTTTTCTGCGTGCGAGCGGTGAATCATCGACATTAAAGTTTTGGTAGTGTGGAGTAGATTGATCAGCTTTTTGTGTCACTTGGGCTTTTGAGGTGATTAGACCTTCTTCGCTATTGCATGAGCCCCTTGAGCCTGGGCTTTAAGTCTTTTACTTTGGGCCATTTCAAGTCTTTTCGTTGACCTTTTTTGTCCAACCCCACTACAATTTTAACTCAAACAATCATTATAACAAATAAACTTAATTCTCGAAAATGTGGGGAAGTAAGTTTCATATTGCTCTCAATCTCACAATTTGATTGCAAGGAACAAGAGAATTTCTTAATTATTATTTTTAAATTTCAAAATCCTTGATGACATGGGTGATGGGTGCTTCTTGAAAGGTAATTTTTCTAGAGGGAGGAAGAGAGTGGTGACAGAAGAAAGAATAGTTTGGTCATTGGTGATGCAATGGGCGATAGAAAATAGTGAACCTGCCAAGCGCAAAGCAAAAAATTTGTCTTTGGTAAACTTAAAGAATTCAAAGCAAATTTGGATGCGTCGGTTGAGATAATATATATCATTACTTTAGTTATCTGGTCAATAAACTTTTAAATTTTCGTAGTTGGTAATTAGAAGATGGAATTCCATTTATATAAATTGTTATGACTAATTTTGAGATCAATTCGATATGTGTTTGAAGTACGTGGGCTAAGAGATTTAGGCCATTCAAAAGAGAAAGAGAGATTTGAAACTTTTAAGCTTTTATGTTTTGTGAAGTGGGCCAATGAAATGAGTTAATATGGGGCGTAAAATAGAAATTGAGTGGTACAAATATCTTGGTCTGCATGCTCCAAAACAGAAATCGGGAGTGAAACTTATCCAAAAAAATGTTCGCGCATGTTTTTTTAATAATTTTCTTACTTTTTTATTGAAGACTTGTCATGCAAGTTTTTGCTGCCAACTTTCCAAGCAAGTTAAGAAAATGGTTTGAGCTCTATATAAAGCTGCTTCCAATAGCTTGAACTCAACATCACATCAAAAACTAGAGAGAGAGGCTGTGAGTCTTGAGAGAAAGAGGGAGAGAGATGGCAGAGGAAAACAAAGTGACCTTGCATGGAATGTGGGCAAGCCCTTATGTAAAGAGGGTGGAATTGGCCCTCAAACTTAAGGGCATACCCTATGAATATGTGGAAGAAGACGTGAAGAACAAAAGCCCATTGCTCCTCAAGTTGAATCCTGTTCATCAGAAAGTTCCAGTACTTGTCCACAATGGAAAACCGATTGCTGAGTCTCTTGTCATCCTTGAATACATCGACGAAACCTGGAAAACTGGACATCTTCCACAAGATCCCTATAAAAGATCTTAAGTTCATTTCTATGCTGGCTTTATGCAACAGGTAAGAGTACTCGAGAATGGATACTGTTTGGCTCCTTATATATAAGAAGTCATTCATTTATAAGCAAATTATCAAATAAATGTTTGCGGAAACATATCGACTGTGATTTGTCCGCAAGAAAAAAAAGGCTTCTTAAACGTAGCTAGCTAAATTATTAATCTTTGGTGCAGGTTTTTGAAAGCATGGTCTCAGTGTTGGAAACCAGGGGGCAAGCACAAGAGAAAGCCATCAAAGAAGTGAGTGAGAAACTAAATCTGCTTGAAGAGGGACTGAAGGGTTTCTACCCTAATGGATTTCCCAAGTCGTTTGACCCTAAGAATGTTGAACTCCTAGAAGTGGTCATTCTTGCACACTTAGGGGCATATGAGGCTCAGGAAGAAGTCCTTGGATTTAAGGTCATGGACCTTCGAACAACTCCACTCATATATTCCTGCATAAGAGCTATGACTGAGATACCTGAGGTGAAAGAGGTGAGCAATCGTCATGAGAAAGTGGTGGCTTTCCTCAAGTTTTTCAGAAATAAAGCTATTAAATCTTCTGACTGAAGAATAATCCTGCTACTTGGGACTTTTCTGACCAATGTTTTGTTGTAATTTGTAAAAGAATAAAACGATTAGTATCGCAATTTCTGATAGAGATGATAGTCAGAAAACTAAATGCGGTACATGTAATGTAACTATTTTTGAAAAAGATTGTACGACCATGGACGTTATATATTGGCATTTTTTGTCGGATTTCAAATCCCCTTTATAATTGATGAAATAAATAACTAGTTCACATGAATCTATGTAAGTATCAATTCAATTTCTTTATGTATTTAAGAACACATTTCACTTTGTTTAAGTGTAAGTAAGCGGGATTTTAACACTGGATGACGATGTTTTTAATTTCGTCATGTCAAACGTTACTAACACGTTATATTAAAAATGGAACTTTAACGAAAAGCTTTTGATACTGTTCACTTTAACAAAAAATCATATTTTTACATTAAAAAGTCAATCATGGTACTATTTACTTTACCCTTTATTTTGTTCTTATCATTAAAACTCAAAATTTGTAAGTCATTTTCATTTCTTTTCCTTATTAAAAAATCATACTTATAGAAGTGCAAAACGACTTTTTGAAGCGTAAATAATATATCCTGTCGATAATTATTAATTAATAATATTTAAAATGTGTGTGACCCAAACAAAAAAAAAATAGAACGGGCCTGCTATTGTTCTATAGCATTTGGTCCAGCCCAATATGAGTTTTTGGGCCCGGTCAACGTCGACCATCTTTATACATGTCAATAGATGAGTGGCTCGGTATCTGTACTATTACCGTCGGTTCCCGCAGCAGATTATAACCCCACCCCCAAAAACCCTACCCCTTTTGTACTCTCTCACACACAGTCGCATTTGTCACTCGAGGAGCGAGACAGAGAGAGAGAGAGAGAGAGAGAGAGCGGTAGGGTTTTAGAGAGAGAGAGCATCAGAATTCAGAAGCTCGAAGAAAGATGGTGGCTGACAAGGGCAAGAAGCTGAAGCTCTCAGAGAAACCCGAGGACGAGAACGCCGACCACATCGACGAGAAGCTCGTCCTCTCCATCGAGAAGTTGCAGGAGGTCCAAGACGAGCTCGAAAAGGTTGTACCTTCACGCCTATCTCTGCATATTATTGTTGTACTTTCATAATTGAACAAAACGGAAGAAACGGTTTCGGTTTTGGCGATGTTCTTTTGGGAAATTCTGCCGATTCAGGGGTTTTTGTGTTCTTGTTTTTTCTTGAATTTCAATTGGTTTCGCGGCATGCATGAGTCGAAAAGGGATTTGGTTTCGGGTTTTGGTTTCTAGGAAATTAACCCAGAAAAGGATCTGATGGTGGTGTGCTTGGTTGATAGAAAATTGGATTTTTTTGTTTGTTTTTAGAATTTAAAGCCGCTTTGTTATATAGACGGCCATAAGCGGAAGCTCCGCGCTTTGCATTCTCGTTATATGTTGTAGCACAGTGGATGCTCTGAACAATTATTGCAATTGGTAACTGTGGAATGTGTTTCGTTTTTGTGAAGTTTGAATTGTTGGCATCCGGTGTTAGATTTTCTCCTTGTTTGTTTATCATTACCATAGGTTGGGTTTACATTCGACTAGAGAATAAATGGGGAAGGAATAGAACTTTAAGGTTTGACATTTTGTGAAGTTTGAATTGCATGAAAATATAGAGAAGAATATACGATTTTGAAAAGAAATTGCGATTTTTGTAGCTTCTGATCGTAAGAGCCCCTCATCAATTCTTTCCTATTTTGAAAAGAAATTGCGAGGGTAAACTCAGCATTGGATAACGGTTGGCGGTTTTTCTCTTGTCTTGGAACCTTGAAGAAAAAGTTGATCTTGTAGAAAGAACGCCAAAGATCAATGGAGATTGAAAAGTAACTGATCTTCTTCTAGTTGAAGACAAAATCCGGTGGCCAATCTTTGGCCTTGAATAACCAGCTCAGCAATAAATTCAATTATTTCATTACATAATTGGGCAGGGTTGCACCTGACGAGTGACGTAAGTGCATAAGCTGTCAGCTCGATAAGGAAAATATAGAGTTATTTTCTTTTGTGTTCTGTACCAATTTTCATGTTTATTAATTTAACCAAACAACTGATAGCTGGTAGATTTAATTATTGTTACTTTTCTTATTCATTTCCCAAATGCTAAACTGAACAGAGTTATAGTATGTGAACCCATGCTACATTTTTCACTTTGTGGCTTTGTTCATAAGGTGAGGCATTTCGTAATCATGAATGTGCATTGCTTTATTATCTTTTAAATGAATTATGTTTCTTATAAAAATGTCCATTGATTTGAATTTTTATAACCGTTCAGGGTCATTTTTAAGTTCTGAGACATACTTGTTTTAGGCTTTTAGCTGCTACAGTTCACTTTTATCAATTTTGACTTATGAATTATCGCGGTGGATCAACATTGTTCATTTGTTTTTAATGTTTTCTTTTGAATGCTTTTTAGATCAATGAGGAAGCCAGCGATAAAGTCCTGGAAGTGGAGCAGAAGTATAATGAGGTACGCAGGCCGGTCTACGATAAGCGAAATGATATTATCAAGTCCATCCCTGACTTTTGGTTAACCGCTGTAAGTTATCTATCCTTATTTATATACATATGTGAAGGATTTATTATGTTTAGGTGGCGTTTGAATAATTTACTTTCTCCATACTCTGCAGTTCCTGAGCCATCCCGCGCTTAGTGAACTTTTGACTGAAGAGGATCAAAAGGTTTGCATTTATTGTGATTCTGAAATTATTTAGTGCATCTTTCTGTTTATACCTTTAATTAATCCCTCAATTATAAATACTTGTCGGTGGTCACTGATTATGCAATTCAATTACTCGCATTCCCTTCCTGCTCTTCCATAATCAATGAAATTATGGAGATTATTTCTATGTAATCTTTCAGATTTGATTCTAGTTAGCTTAGTATGGATTCATCGTTCTTTTCCTTTTCATAGATTTTCAAGCATCTGACTTCTCTGGAAGTTGAGGACTTCAAGGACGTGAAATCTGGTTACGCCATCACATTTGTGAGTCTTGTCTTTTCCTATTCCATGGTATCTTTGAAGTGTATCAAGGGCATATTTTATGTTTTATTTTAGTTAATGAATGTACTGAGATTGTGACCAAATTTATTATTTAATTGTACAGGTCTTCAGCCCCAATCCTTATTTTGAAGACACAAAGCTTACGAAGACCTTTACTTTCCTTGATGAAGCAACAAAAGTTACTGCTACATCCATAAAATGGAAAGAGGGAATGGTATAAGATTTGTCTTGCATTCAGTTTATATTTCTGGTCAATTATGTTAGGGTATTACGACTTACTGCATACCTGATTTGTGAAGGGCATTCCTAATGGAGTTAATCATGATAAGAAAGGGAACAAGCGACCTCAGGTTGAGGAAAGGTTCGTTAATGGAACCTGTTAGGATGGACCTCCAGAAAATACTTTTATTAGTCTTTCAAATTACCTCATATTGACTGAAATTCCAATTCTTGTTTTCTATGCAGCTTCTTTAGCTGGTTTAGTGATAGTCAACAAAAAGATATTTTGGAGGATGAGATTCATGACGAGGTTAGTTTGTAGTTATATTTCAATGTGGTATCGAGAACTATGTGTCAATCTGAACATTTTCTTACTTGTATGGTACCTTTCTGAACTTCCACATCACACTGCAGATTGCGGAGGTTATTAAGGAGGATTTGTGGCCCAATCCTCTGACTTACTTCAACCATGTAACTTCTGCTTTACCACTTCCCTATTTCTCAAGCATAATTTAAGTATTGTGTAGAAGCTTTTACTGCTTGCCTAATTTTCTAATAGTAGCTCATGACCTCTTTGACGTAGGAGGCTGATGACGATGAGGAATTTGATGATGAGGAAGCTGATGAAGAGGTGAATGCACAGATCCTTTTAGGTTTACATGTCAAGTGAAAATACTATAAATACAGACAACCTTTATGCTAGATTAACCGCTAATGGAATCTGTACTTTCTAAAACTTAAATATTTGTAGCATACAAGAAGATCTTGAGGCTCACATAAGGATTTTTTGTAGTTTCTAAAGCCTACATATTTAAGCATTGCTGTGTCATTCAAAAGTGAAGAAAAATATTTCAGATGTTAATTTCTGGCTTAATCATTATTAAGTCTTTGCCATGAACTACATAAAAGCATAAGAAATGCTGATAAATTGAACCTCACATGCAGAACCCATACTAGTAGCTTTTGGCATCATTGGAAAAAGTAAACTGCTTACCTCTGGTGACCTGATGTTGCTGATATTGTACTTGTGCAACTCGTGCATTGCTACATTTGTGTGTGCAATTTAATCTCGTAGAGTCCTCGTTCATCTAGGTTCTGTATTACGTAAGGGCATACATATAGTCACCTTTCAGTAATTTCAGTAGTTGTGTGTGGTTGTTTACTGTGCTTCCATTTGAACAGTCTGGTAAATACCCTTTATGATCTGTTATAACTAGTCAAATGAAGATTATAGTAGGAAATCAGATATCTTAATCTTTGAGGTTTGATTATTGGCAGGGAAAGAATGAAGATGACGACTCTGAAGATGATGAGGATGACCAAGATGAGGATGAAGATGGTGACGAGGATGACGGAAAATAAACATTCATCTGGGTCTTCAAATCTTTTAGCATTTGCTGCTTTGTTAACAGCTTGTGTAAAGTGAGTCTACAGTATTAGATAAGTCTCGTCTAAGGTGACAGGGGATGACCATCATAACTCTTGACAGCGTCCTGTCATGTAGGCGCCCGACTGTTCCCATAGGCCAGTCGGGTTTTTCGACTCTGCTGTTACTATCTCCGTGGCGTCTCTCTGTTACAGTAGGGTTTTTTTTGTGGCTTCTCCCTGATATGCAGGTCTCTAGATGACAATATTATAATGGTCTTTTCCTTTTGGTTTTTTGAATGCCATCAATGAGGATATATTATGGAGTTGGGAAGTTCTTTGGCATCATTTTATTGTTTGATTCTACAAAGTATTAGTTCATGGAGAAATGATTTCCGCACACCCCTTCTCTTGTTCTGCACGCGCGGGTCGGATGTATGACCCTTCCTAATTCATGTACAAGTGTGCTGGCAATTTCAATTCTGGGACAACCTGTAAAGGGGTCTGCATATAGATCACAAATCCTGTGCCCTCGGACATGTCGATCTTCACGGGCA